ATCTCATTAAGAAATGCACATTCAATAAAACCTTACTTTTAAGTTTAAACTGTTTATTAAAATTTGACTATAATTATAAATAGTTTTGTAAGATTTATAAACTTAAATCTTTAAGAAAACATTAGGTTTTTAATGAGATTGGACATTAATATTTTTAAAGCCCTGCACAGTGTTTTCTGTACAAGCATCTGCTCTCATGCATTAAGGAACTCATTCAACACTTTTTAAAAATCAAAAGCATTATTTCTGGGGTCTCTATTCTGTTTCATTGGTCTGTGTGTCTTTTTATGCCAGTACCATGCTGTTTTGGTTACCAGAGCTTTGTAGTATATTTTGAATATACTACTAAATAGTGCCCAGAAATAAATCCACACATTTATGGTCAATGTAGTTTTGACAAAGGTGCCAAGAACACACAATGGGGGAAGAACAGTCTTTTTAATATAATAAACAGTGCAGACAAATGAAACTAGATGCTTATTGTCTCCCTCTGTATAAAAATCAACTCAAAATGGATTAAGGATGTAAATATAAGATCTGAAAAGTATCACACAACTAGAGGAAAAGTTCCGTGACATTGGTCTGGACTCTGGACAATGATTTTTTGAATATGACCCCAAAAGCACAGGCAACAGAAGCAAAAATAAACAAATGGGATTGCTTCAAACTAAACAGCTTCCGTACAGCAAAGGAAACAATTAAATAACATAGTAAAGAGACAACCCATGGATTGGGAGAAAATATTTGTAAAAATCATACAGCTGATAAAGGGTTAATATCTACACTATTTAAAGAACTCCAAGTAGTCAATAACAAGAAAACAAATAACCTGATTTAAAAATTGACAAAGGGCCTGAATATACATGTCTCAAAAGAAAACATACAAATGGCCAACAGATACGTGAAGATATTTTCAACATCACTCACCATCAGAGAAATGCAAATTAAAACCACAATTCGTGATTCCCTGACACTTGTTAGAATGGCTATTATCAAAAAGATGAAAGACGGTAAGAGGCGGTGAGGATGTGGAGAGAAGGAACCCTTGTACGCTGTTGGTGGGAATGTAAATTAGTACAGCCATTGCAGAAAACAGTATGCGTGTTCCTCAAAAGATTAAAATTAGAACTAGCGTAGGAGCCAGCAGTCCCACTACTGGGTATATATCCCAAGGAACCGAAATCGGTGTGTCAAAGGGATGCCGGCACTCCCATGGTCTCCGCGGCACTGTTCACAGCAGCCAAGGTAGGGAGCCAACCTGAACGTCCATCAGCGAGTGAATGCGTGAGGAAAAGGAGATCTGTGTACACCATGGAATACCGTGAAGCCTTAAAAAAGACAATCTTGTCATTTGTGACAACACGAGTGAACGTGAAGGACATTATGCGAAGTGAAATAAGCCAGGCACAGAAAGACAAGTATTCCATGATCTCACGTACATGTGGAACCTAAAAAAGCTAAACTGTAGAAGGAGAGAGTGGGACGGTGGTTACCAGAGTCTCGGGTGGGGAGGGATTGCGGAGACGTTGGTCAAAGGGGAAGGAATTTCGGTGAGACAGGAGGGGTGAGTGCAAGAGATCTGTTGTGCAACATGGTGACCACGGTTAATAACAACATGTTGCAGTTTTGAAAATTGCTGAGAGTAGATTTTAAGTGTTCTCATCACAAAAAAAAAGTGCATGAGGTCATACATGGTAATTAGCTCAATTAAGCCATTCCACAATGTGTACATATTTCAAAACCGCATGTACATGACAAATATATACAATTTTTGTCAATTGAAAATTAATTTTAAAAAGCATTATACATTAAATTATTAAATTTAACAGAGAAGAAATTGTAGTAAAATGAAGGAACTGCTAAACTTCAGATAAATGTTTTTTTCAGGAGGTACTGGCTCCTAATAAATCCTGCTAAGACTAAGGAACAGACTGTAGGAGCCATTAAGAGCTCAGAGTCTGCTTTTCACTCCAGGCTTCTACCACAGACAGTACTGACCAACCTGCTCTGAAGACCAGCCAAGCAGCTCTCTCCGGCTGCCTCCCCAGGCCCTCGTCCCTCCTCCGGAGTCTTGGTTCGTATTGTTTTCCCTTTGTTAGGGTTTATAACAGTTTCTTCCTGTCCTGCAATCATAATCTCCCTAGTTTAGTCTTAATTCTGCGTGTGGATGGGCTCGACGGTTGGCCCCAGTCCTTTTAGAGTAGACTTTTAATGTGAGTTCGTTTATTGGGTGGCTGGATTTCACTGTCTAGTTTTTCTCCCACAAAGGGCGTGCGTAGGTGGTAAGTTCTCTGAATAAAGGCAGTTAGAAGGTGGTATACATGGAGGATAGACAAAAATGGGATCACCAAAGGTTAAATGTCCAAGCAAATGGAAAAGAAATACAGAAGAAAATGTATTTAGAGATACACTACAGGAAAATTTGTTCAAAATGAAGGAAGAATCGCGCCAAGTAATTGAAAGAGCATACTGAACGATATTCAGGGACACAGTTATTATCACAGCAACTTGCTTTTTATGCCTCTAAGGCTGAAGAAAGTAGGCTCTTCCACACAAGGGTGGGGTGAGTTACCAGATTGGCAAATACGAGACCGATGCCACCCCCTGCTGGCAAGGGTGTGAGGGGACAGCTGTGTCCACAAACTCTTGGAAAGGTTATGAACCGGATCGGCTTTTCAGAGTGACACCCCAGTTTGGCTGCGACCGTCAGAAGCTCTGAGTGACCTGGGCGCCCGCCAAGGTGCCACTTCTTGCCTGGGGGAAATCGCAGCGTCCCATCCCTCTCTCTGCCTCCCGCCTCTTCCTTTCCGATTCCATTCTCCGTATTACTAGCGGCATTATTAAAGTTCTTTGTATGGTAAAAGTTTGCAAACACTTAAAGAGAGAACGGAAGTGTGAACTCTCATGTGCACATCACCAGCATCAGCAATGAACGTTTTCTGCTCTTTTTTCATCTCTGCTGCTGCGCCCTCCCACCTTTTTGGGTGGCGGGGGGGGGGGTGTTGAACAAATTATAGTTTGTTTTTTACGTAAAACATGATAGCTAGTTCTTCTCCTAGGGCTGGAGCCCCAGCTACTTACTCAGCCTGGGTCTGCTCTCAAACCATGGCCTCCCACGACGCCAACGGACTACAGCTTCCCGAAAACGCCTGAGGACCATCCTCCAGGGCCCCCTGCACCGATCATCGTGCTCCTGGTGACATCCGGGTTAGGCAGTAGGTTCTGGAAAGGCTTCTCTGATAAATACCCATCTTCGTCTCTTCCCCGGCAGCTCAGCTGTCAGCTTCCACTTCGCTTGTCCTGCACGTCGCCTTCCAGTGCCTTCCATGTGCCTCCTGCCGGCATCGTCTCTGAAGTCCCGGCCTAGGCAGTGCCCAGCATGCAGCAGGCGTTTACAGTCACGTCTGTTACAGGATTACCAGAGTGAAAACTGCTCGAGAAGGAACACGGCTTTAGCTGTTAATTCTGGGTGCCCCAGTGTTTCAGATCCCTTCTAGAATAAAGGCAACGGGTGGGGGAGGAGAGTCAGCGAGAGAAGGCGGTGGAACGGAGGGAGCTGGGCACCTAACACACCCACTCACTTCAACCTTTCCTCTGGCCAGCCCTTTTATTAAATTAAAATCACCCATGGTGGCCCCTTTAATACTGGGGTTGACAAACTACAGTCCCACAAACACTGCTCACTGCCCCTTTTTGTAAGCTAGCACTTTTTACATTTTGAAAGGGTTATTAAAAAAAAAAAAAGACTGTAACAGAGATTTTGTGGCCTGCAAAGCCACATATTTACTACCCAGCTCCTCTCGGCAAGTTTGCCACCCCTGCTTTAACAGAACAAATCAATCTTGTATAATTTAGAGCTCACGCATCTTACCCGCAGGGTGTAGTAAATTCTGTGTGTTGGACTCATTTTACAAACCTTTGATTGTTTCCTATGGGCGAGGCTTAGGGCTATGGACAGATACCTTGGGTGGTGAGCTGTAACCCAGCGAGCACTTCTCTGGGTTTTGAATGCAAGTTGAGAGACTGACAGGAGAACATAACCTATTTAAACACAAAGCACGTGCTTGGAAGCAGAATTAGAGGAGCGGGATCATCCGCTGTTCGTCAGTTACCAGCCAGCTGCCGGTGAACATTCGGGGAGAATCTGTAATTAGGAGGGGCTGGGTGTGATTTAAACACGAGCTCCTCCAGTTCAAGGGCGTTTGTGCCACGTGTAAGGGAGCAAATGTCTAGAAAGGTGCCAAGGTTCAAGTGACAGGAAAAATATAAAAGGAGGTAAAATGATTATTTAACTCAAGCATATTAAACTAGCAGCAATGAAAGCAGTACTAGTGTTCACACTGATTCATCGGGTCAGTCTGGAAATGCATCTGAAGGAAACAAAACACAGAATGAGTCATGTCCACGCTGCTGTTTCTGGCTGCGCTCTTTAAAAGAGAACTTGGGAACTAGCAGAGACCCCATGGGGGACTCCGTGGGTAACCACTGCATTGCCACCAGATGGAGTATCAAGAAGTCGTCAGCACTGACGGTTAGAAAAGAGATCTCGCCTGGTGCCGGTTATCACTTAAGCCCTTTCAGTGGGCAGAGGACTGGAACCAAGCTCCCAGGCTGAAAGACTAGCCCCAAGGGACCAGTTCTGATGGAAGAACTTTATTTAAGCCTCATGCTTCATCTTAAAAACATATGCAAATATATTCATACTCATTTTAATATCAAAAGAACTTCAATTCTGTGGCACCAACAGTCCAGGCTTCGCATCCCCGGTACAACAACACACTTTACAGGGGTTCCGCAGAATCCGGTTTAAGAAGGAATTAAATGATAAAAAAATCTGAACAGCATAGAACACTGCACATACATGAAATGCTACATCTAACTAAAACCATCACCACTGGGGAAACACGTAAAATGTTAATAATGGCTGGGTTAGCATAGTCGATTTTAGATACTATATTTTCTATTTTCTTTTTGGTAATGTGGTTTTACTACTTTTATAACAAAAAATGTGCTTAGAATCATCTTGCTGAGTTGCTAAGTCTCTTGGGTGGTAACAAAATCTGAGGCAGATGATCACGATACTAGTTTCCAATTTTGGTATTCTTTCTTGGACTAATTTTAAGAAATGTAGGACTATAAAAATATGAATCATAAGTTACAAATACACTGTGTTGAGTTTGCTGCAAGTTGACTAGAGGCCAAGGACCGGAATTCGAATGAAATAAAACCCACGAGTTTGGGCTCCTGAACGAGTCCGTGGAAGAAGTGTGAGGACAGCACTGCAAACACGGAAACATGTCACAGACGCGCAGAAGAACACTGCCACTTCAGGCCCTGACATGTCGCCCCTAACGAGCGCGTGCAAGTGCCTCACTGCAGCTCTCAGGCAGCGACGACCTCACCTACGGTGTTAGTTTCTCCAGCGCAGACCGCTGCCTCGTCCCCGCCGGTGCCCGGTGCCTGGACACCTTGCACTGCTCCCCACCCCCAAAGGTGTGAGCGAAGCTGAAGTTATCGCAAGTGAGGGAGGATTACTGGCCAACCCAGAAACCCCGAATAGCTGAATTAATTCAGAGTCTGCCCGTGGCCATGTGGGGGCAAAGCTGTCACTGGATTGTACAAAACTGTCACCTCTTCCCCATCTCACCACTGAAAAATTCCCCGAGTTTACATCAAATACCTAATAGAGGTGAACAAAATGATTCTGTTCCTTTTCTGACAATAAAATGCTATAATTCAGTACTATTTCTTTGCAATGCGATAATTAGTTAAAACTAATAAAACTCCTGTTTCCAATTATTCAAAAACTAGGCCTATAAAATTAGAAGTCACTCTTATACTTATTGATATCTACCTGTTCATCAGTTTAATGCTAAAATGACTAAAGCTCAGCACAGAATTACACTGCTCAAAAGCACTTACAATTCTCTAATTTTATGGATTTGCCCAGTTAGTCATAACCTTATAATTAAAGAAAAATTCCTCGCACATGGTAGACATTCCTAAATATATGTTGAATAAACAATCAGCAATAGTGTTCCTGATTCGCCATTCCCTACAAAAAGTGTAAAAGGGAAACCAATTATGGAAGCTGGGCTTTGGGACTCGAGTGGATTTTATTTTTGCAGGCGAGAACGCAGCAAAGACTATATAAATACATCTTTCGGCTGAGGGCGCTCAGTGTCGAGGCGACTCGCGCCCTGAAGAGGGCTGCGGCATCCTGAATCTGGAGAGGTCGAGGTTCAGGTCGAGGAAGGTGTACGTGGTGTAGTCATGATGCTGCAGGTTCTTGTAGGTGCTGTTGTCAGACGGCTCGGCGGCCACCGGGGCGGGCTCTGTGGAGGGAACACGACACCGTGAGAACGCCCACGAGGACGGCGCTTTGTGAATGACTGGGCTCCCACGCGCGTGTCTACCAGTCATTCTCCAGCAGTCCTATCTATGCAGAGCAAACTGTCTAATCAGAAAAGAAAAGCTCATGAAAGCCACAGTATCTTCAAGAGCAAAATAAAGGTACTGGTTGAAAATGTATCCTAAAACGTACAGCCTTAACAATTTAAGAAATGGCATAGTTGTTAGAATGTGTCTTAACATCTTACTTTGCGCACTTGTAGGACTCAGACTTCTCAAAAGTTTGAAAATGCCAAGGACAATTATGGAGGGACTTCTAGGTCGCTTAAAGACGCACGGAAAAAATTACTTCTATAAGAAATCTGTCTACGTAGAAATGAATCATTTACAAAAATTTTTGAAAAGCAGAAACTCGGGGAACATTCTAAGTCTCTGAATACAATTAGATAAATTCTATTATAACAACAGAGTTAAGGGGAATGAAATGAAATGTGTAGGTTTTGTTGTTTCAACCTTTTTTGAAAAAATTGTGGGAATACTTTAGATTCATAGGCTAAAAATACTAATTTAGCTTTGTATCTTTAAACAGAAAAAATAATTAAAAACCATACCCCTAAGCATTTGATAATCTTAAAGCTACAAGCATGGAGTTGAAGCACAAGAAACACTGCTGCCCTGCAGCGTGACAGGCAACACGATGGCGAAACGAAGCTTCCTGAGGCGACAGGCTAACATTCGGGTTAGGACTCCTACCGTCGAAATTTCTGGAAATCAGGCCATTAGGGCTGTCTCAACTTCTACTCATGCTGCATGCAAAATATATTTTTTTCACTATGTCGATTAATATCAAAAGCTCTGTTTTTGTTTTAGTTGTGTTAAACAAAAATGATGTTTTATTTAAAGAGCTGACATCTTTTCATTCTCAACAAGCTGAATGTCTTCCATGGGTGTAGGTACAACTTCAAAGTGGGATGCATTATCATAGTTAACACGGAGAAGGTAACTGAAGGGAGGTGCGGGTTACAAAACTCTTATCCAAAACCAGTCCACCTGGAAGGCAAGGAGCGCTGCACGCGGGGCGGGGACGACCCAGTGAGAGATCCGTCTGCCCTGCACAGACACAGCCCGAAAAGCGGGCTTTGCTCTGGGGTGTCTTCTTTAGCCTTTGAAGGGCAAAGGGAGTATCTGAGAAATAACATATCCTGAAATATTAGAAGCAAGTTTCTTTTCAAAAAGGTTGGCAATCTGAAAGTCCCCAGTTCTCGATGAGTTCTGTCCTGCTGGTTTTGGCACTCCTCCCTGTCACAGAGCGGGGTGACTGCGAAGGCAGCAGCAGGGACACGGACCTTGCGGTCTGGAGAGGTCTGGAGAGGTCTGGCACTTTGCACATTAATGAAAGAGGGAGCAAATGGAAAGGGAGGAAAACACATAAATCCTGTCAGCACAATGTAACCAACACTAATGTACCAGGTAAGCAAATTAGGCCTGAGGCGGCTTTAAAAAGAATGAACAGCAGACACAGAAGGAGCTGGGTTTGTCAGCAATAATGCATTTTAAGGAAGTCTTGAAGAGCCACATTCTAAAATGAAGAAGTCCTGCTTTTCAGGTTTGCCGTGACCCACCTAAAACAAATTGCATTTTATCAGGTTTAGTGCCCAAGAAAATGGTAACGTAATAGGAATAACACTATTTCCCTTTAAAAGCCCTTCAAAGAATTCATTATAGAAGAATAAAGCAGCTATGCGTATTTTTCAGGTAAATCAGAGAAGGAAATGTCTAGTGAAAAGAAAGTCTTTTGCACTCCGTGGCTGCCTCTGTGTGACACCCACTGCTTTAGTGCATAAGGATGCAGAAGCAATCATCTAGTTTGGTCCCCCTGACACTATCATGCCAAGTGTAACCGCTGGTCTTCACTGTGCGAGTTAAATAGGAGAACCCCCTTTTCACTCAGCTGCTCTGCAAGCTCATGAAATGAACACTTGGACACCTGCAAAAGTTGAGTGTGAAGACATTAAACTGCCAGTTTTCAAACATTATACTGGTTAAGAAATAGTCAAGAGTGCCAAGGGCATACTCTTTCATTTTATATTTTGAGATGGGGTCTTGCCATGTTGCACAGGCTGGCCTCAAATTCCTGGGCTCAAGTGATCTTCCTGCCTCAGCCTCCCAAGTAGCTGAGATTATAGGCACTAGCTACCGCACCAAGTTCATTTTAAAATAAATTTAAAGTATCTTAGGCATTTTGTATATTAAGATGTGTTACCCAGAATTAAGACATACCTCTCTGCTTAGCTGAGCCAGTGTTATAGGCCTTATTTCTATTATAAAATTTGATATGAATACTACTTTATAATAGCAGAAAAATGTAAACTAGTTCTTTACAGTCTAACCACCCCTCAGGGAACGGAAGAGGTCACAAGCACAAGTCAAGGTATACCCTGTGTGCCGTCCTGGTCTTCCACTGGCATGGCGGGGTCTTCCACTGGCACGGCGGAGTCTTCCACTGGCATGGCGGGGTCTTCCACGACCTCACTCTCAAGGCTTAGCACTGTGGCCTTTTCATCAAAAACATCTTTCTTCTCAGCAGAAACTGTCTTCAAATCCCTTATTGGTACCTGATCTTCCAAGATCTCTTCTCCAGCCTTCGAGTGTCCTCCTGTTGCCTGCTTCCCCAAGTGCTCTTTTCTGCGCTGGGGGGCGGTGGCCTTCCCATGGAGCTCTGGCACTTGCTTTCCCAGATGTGTCTCCTCTCCCAGGGTGGGCGCTGGGCCACCGGCCGGCTGTGCAGACAATCCTGATTTTGTGTGGTCAGGTAAGATTCCTTTACCTTCAAATGGCTTTCGGCTTTCTTCATCTATTTCATTTGATCTAAATATGTTCTGCAATTGTTTTTCTTTTATACCTTGCTTCAAAAACTCTTCACGTACTTGTGATTTGGGCGCCATGATTTTTGGTTTAGCATCTTTTCTATCCTCTGATGGCTTAACGGCAGTCCCTTTCTTCTTTGGCTGACGGGGCTTCTCTGGATAGGTGGAGTCTGGGTGAGGCTTCTGCGACCAGGTGGTCTCTTTTGCTGATGTCGCCGTTTGGGGGGCTGTGTTTTCAAAGGCAAGAGAGACCTCTGCTTTCCGAAACCCGCCTTTGCCTTTGCTCACCACTCGAGGACCAACCTCTGAGACATCACTCTCCTCGTCAGACTCCGAATCCGAGGAGCTGGATGAAGATGAAGATGAAGATGAATCATCTGTCACTTTCTGGCCCTTCCGACGAGCTTCTGAACCAGAACCCTGTTTTTTCAACGGTGATGGAACTTTCTGAGGAAACTCTACCAAAGTCTTTCTTGACAGAACTTTCGGAACCCCTTTGTGTGTGCGCAGCGTGCTGTCATCGGGGCCGGGGCTAGCTCCCACCCCGCCTTTGTTCACGACTGACGGGTAAGGATGGGGCGAAGATACGTTTCTAGACACTTCGGCTGCTGCTGGGGTGGCTAGCAGCTTGCCCTTCTCCTTTGGTGTCACTACATCTGAGAAATGGCATAAAGAGGAATGCTTTTAATATTTAACAAAAACAAACTCATCAGTCAAAGCACAGACACTTCATTACACATCAACTTGTTGTTTACAACGTCTTCACTACAATCGTCCTAGGACAGTTCCGCGGAAACCCACTCTCAAGTGCCAGCCGAGCCTCGTGGCTGAGGCAGCAGGAAGGAAGAGAGATGCTTTCCTTGGTAGCTGAAAAATTTAAAAATGAGTATTTTCATTAACAGGAGTAACAAATTTGTTTCCATTTTTCACACTGACAGCTTCTTCTCTAACCATAGTTATTTTTTAAACTATTTCCCCCAAATTTAAGATACTCAAACTATCTTATAAACTAACTTAGAAAGATATTTTCAGATGACTATGGAAGCTTTACAATGTATAATTTCTTCAATTCCTAAAAAACTGGTGCTTCTCAAATATTAAAAAAATCCAGAACTTGAACTTTCTGAACAGAACAGCAAGGCAAAAGGACAGGCAAGAGCCTGGTGTGAGGGACGCGTGTGCCTGCGTTTAAGCGGGGTGGGGTGGGGTGATGCAGTTCAAGTCAAGTCAGTCTGAAAAGGAAGAAAAATTCTTCAAAATCACACAACTCATTTGGGGATTTCTTCAGCCAAAAAAAAAAACCATATATATATAGTATTACAATACCAAGGAAGCCTAAAATAATTTAACATCATATATATCATTGGAAATAGCAGATTTCTAAGCTGTAAAAAACAGAATAAGTGCAGTGGCATGATTGTAGCTCACTGACACCTTGAACTCCTGGGCTCAAGTCATCCTCCTGCCTCCCGAGGA